GGTTGGACCCTGTCGATGTATAAACACTCTCCCCAAAGTGGTTATCTCTACTGATCAATTTAATTCTCACAACAGCCCTTAGCGGTGGGTACACAGAGGAAGGAGGCAGGGAAGCATTGAATAATGTGCCCAAAGTCACAGGGTCAGGTGGCTCTGAGGGGAGCAGTCTGGCGCTCGAACCCAGTTTACTACGACAGTGTCTGTCTGCAATACATTTATGGCATTTATTTGTTCTGGATTCAAACCCTTTGCTGATTCCACGGACTGCAAATATCTTCTCCCAGGCTCTAGTTTGCTCTTTTATTCTTGATGTCTTTTTCTTGAACAAAAGTTCTCCATTGCAATGGAATTGGATTTATCTATCTTTTTTTTTATCTTGTGGTAGTTTTTGGTTCCCTATTTAAGACAGCTTGACCTACCTCAGGTTCACCAAAATCATCTACTGTGTTATCTCCTACACCAGTGATGGCGAACCTTTTGAGCTCAGCATGTCAGCATTTTGAAAAACCCTAACTTTACTCTGGTGCTGTGTCACATATAGAAGTTTTTTGATATTTGCAACCATAGTAAAACAAAAACTTATATTTTTGGTATTTATTTTATATATTTAAATGCCATTTAGCAAAGAAAAATCCACCAAAAAAAATGAGTTCGCGTGTCACCTCTGACATGCGTGTCATAGGTTCGCCATCACTGTCCTACACACTGACTTGGAAATGAGTTTTGTGTTTGATGTGAGGTAAGGGTTGAAACTCCCTTTCCCCCTCATGGATATCCAGCACAACCAGCTTCATTTATTAAAAAAGAGTGCAATAACACAGCTCCGCAATACTACCTTTAAAATAAATCCAATGTTCAGATAAGAATGCTAACTCACTTTTCAATATCAGTTTGGCATTAACTAGTGCACAAAATAAATGATATTGGAATACGTTTTCAATTTCAGGAGATTTTACTAAATATCTGATCACGATACTCTAATCCCACATGTATTTAAATTTAGATGTATGCCTCCACTGGTGAAACTCCATGAAGGTTTAATGCACCTCTATCCTATCCCAGAGCTTTCCAATGTTGTGTGAGGAGAAAATTGTTCTCTCGGGGCGGTGGGTGGAGGGTAAGGGAGAGGTTAGAAATGAATGCAGAGAGGAAACATATGAATCCTTCACCACATAAACTCATTTGTTCAGGCCAAAGAAAATCACCAGTTTCTCTCCCTCCCCCCACCCCCCACCCTGGATTTTTCTGGACTTGTAATGTGCTAACACCTAGGGAGCTGCATTAAGAAGCATTTCCCATATTCATCGGACCACAAAGTCTTTTGATCTCAGATCACAGGGCCTCCATTCTGTTTAATGAGGAGTAGAGAAGCCATTCTGTTCCTGCCCCAAACCTGTAAAGTCACCTGCGTCTGACCTCATTCCTTCCCTCCTCCTCTGTTCCTGGGGCTCACCCTCCAGTCTAGGATTGTTGTTGTACACTGGGGAGAGCTTGTACTACATGGTGGCTGAAGCAAGGGAGAGAGGCAGAGAATTCCCATGCTGTTAGAGGTGGAAGCAAGATGACTTGGTGATGGGCTGCGTTGAAGAGTGAGGGAAAGTGAAGATTTAAAGGTGACGCCTAGCCCTAACCGGTTTGGCTCAGAGGATAGAGCGTCAGCCTGTGGACTGAAAGGTCCCAGGTTCGATTCCAGCCAAGGGCATGTACCTTGGTTGCGGGCACATCCCCATAGGAGGTGTGCAAGAGGCAGCTGATCGATGTTTCTCTCTCATCTATGTTTCTAACTCTCTATCCCCTCTCCCTTCCTCTCTGTAAAAAATCAATAAAATATATTTTTAAAAAAATAAAAATAAAGGTGACGCTTAAATATCTAGCTTGAGCAACAAAGTGAATGTCCTGCTTTAAAAAAAAATTTTATGTTTGTTTGTTTTAATATATTTTTGTTGATTTCAGAGAGGAAGAGAGAGGGGAGAGAGAGATCAAAACATCAATGATGAGAGAGAATCGTTTACCAGTTGCCTCCTGCACAACCCCTATTGTGGACTGAACCCACAACCTGGGCATGTGCCCTTGACCAGAAACAAACCTGGGACTCTTCAGTCCATAGGCCGACACTCTATCCACTGAGCCAAACCAGCGAGGGCTGTTTGTTTTTTTTAAAATTGATTTTAGAGAGAGAGAGAGAGAAAAAAAAAACATTGATGTGAGAGAGAAACATTGATCAGTTGCCTCCTGCATGCACCATGACCAGGTAAACAGACACCTGGGTATGTGCCCTGACTGGGAATTGAACCTGCAACCCTTTGGTGTATGGAGGACACCCCAACCAACTGAGCCATATTGTCCAGGGCAGATGTCTTGCTTTTAACTGAGATGGAGGACACAGAAGCAGAAACAGCCCTGGTGGGGATTAAGGAAAGAGGCAGCAGAGCAAAACGGTCCCACTGTACACGAGTTGAGTTTGAAGGACTTTGAAACATCCAAGTGGAAATGGGCACTAGGCAGCTGGATGTATGGGTCTGGAGCTTGGGTGAGTCATCCTGGCTAATGATACCAGTTTTGCAAGCAAAAGCGTATAGCTGGAATGTAATTAGGGGGATGATAAGATTGGCAAGTAGGGTATTTATGCTTGGATGATATGAGCACCACATACCTAATCTTGACGAAGCCCTATCAGACAGAGGAAAAGAGACTGGAAAGGTGTGGCCTCAGAGGTAGGAGATAAAGATACTTGTTAGAGGACAAGAGTGGTCAACAAGCTAAAATGCTGTTGAAAGGCCAGTGAGCAAGAATAAGGACTGAGGAGAGTCCAGTGGATTCTGCAAAGTGGAGATTACTTACCTTGACAAGAGCAATTTCAAAGGTCATTTCCATCTTCACCAAATCTTGTAAAAATGGAGGTTACTCATGTCACTCCTCTGCTTTTCTGATTTACAGTATCTGAGAAGGGATCTGGTCTCTTCACTTCCAACCAGTCATTTCCTGTCCTACAATTCTCTGCTCCTTTCACACTTGCCTCCTTGTTGTGTCTTTAAAAAGCCAGGAAGGCTCCTGCCACAGGGCCTGTGCGCTTGCTGTTTGCTCTGCCAGAAGTGATGCTCCCCAGATTTCTGTCAAACTCACCCCTTTGCTTCCTTCAGGTCTTTGCTCAAATGTTACCTTTCATTGAGGCCTTACTTGACACTCCATTTAAATCACTTTTGTTTCCACTCAAGCCCTTTCCATAGTTCCTACTTTATTTTTCTTCACAGCACTCATCACCATTGACATGCTATCTATTTAATTGACTGACTTTACTGTCAGTCATCCCATCCTCCTTCAAAAGTAAGTTATATGAGGGAAGAGATTCTGTCCACTTGTGTGTCCCCAGAACCTAGAACAATGCCTATAACATAATGGGCACCTACAAATATTTGATGAGTAAATTCACTAAAATTTTCAGCTGATGAAACTGGTTTATCCTGATATCCCCGAGGGACCTTTCAGGAAAGGTTGGTGGACTGAGGGCTGCTCATTTCTTTTGAGCAAAATGAAGAAGAGCTGCCCCCATTTTCTTCCATGATCTTGGTTCAAACTCCTCTTCCTCTTCCTGTGTCACCAGGACCTGCCCATCCAAGGTCTTCGAAGTCACACATTGTGTCTCTGCACCTTCTCCTTTCCTTTCTTGCTGTTACTACCCCGTTTCAGATTCATGAATGGAATAATGATGCAGGAAAAGGTAAATATGGAGAACATAAGCTAGAGAAAATGCTTCAAATAAGTTTGGCTGTAAAGAAGCAGAGAGAGGCGGTTCCTGGTGGGGACTGTGGGTGCCAGGGAAGCTGAGATGTTTTTGTTTGTTTGCTATTTTTCCTTTTTTTCTTAGCTTTTTACTTTACAAAAAGTATTGCTTCACAGAAAATTGGAAAGAGAGTACAGCGAGGTTCTGTTTGCTCGTCACTTGGTTTTCCTACAAATACATAACCACAGCACAATATCAAAACCAGGAGATCGACGGTGGTGTAACCTGCCTGTATAATTCCTTGCTACTCTGTGACATGGGCAGAGGAGCAGTTTGCTCATCAGATCAGTCATGGGAAGGACTAGGGCATTGTTTCTGGAAGCTCTTTTCTTCGGCCCTCATGCCTCCCTTTTATTACACCCTTCTGCTGAATCAGCCACAGTTGGCTTTGCTGCCAACAGCAGCCTCTGTTAGCCTTTCAAAATCTTCCTTAATCCAGCATCACTGTCTTTTATGACCACCTTTTATTCCAGGCCTAACCCCTTCACCCCAAGCCAAGCCAACACCTTCGCATACCCCTCCATATCCTCATGTCCTCCTTAATCATCTGCATTCTTTTCATGCTACTGGCTCACTTCACGCTTTTTAATATTTTGCATTTATTATCTGAAGGACACAAGTGGGACCTATCCTGTTCTTTAATTGTCAGTGTCACATCTGTTAGACCTTGATCATGCATTCATTCAAACATTTTATGAACACCGTGTTTGTGTGTGTGTGTGTGTGTGTGTGTGTGTGTGTGTGCCAGCCACAGTCTAGATCAGGGGTGGGCAAACTTTTTGACTCGAGGGCCACAATGGGTTCTTAAACTGGACCGGAGGGCCGGAACAAAAGCATGGATGGAGTGTTTGTGTGAACTAATATAAATTCAAAGTAAACATCATTACATAAAAGGGTACGGTCCTTTTTTTTTTTAGTTTTATTCATTTCAAACGGCTGTAGTTTGCTCACGGCTGGTCTAGATTCTAGATTTAGAGATAAAAGTCAGGGCTCCCAAGAGGCCTCAGGGTAACAAACAACGGTCACACAGGTGATTAGCACTTTGAGACAGGCTGCTCTGGGGGCAAAGGAAGGGCACATGACCCAGATGTGGAATATCAGTGAAGGTTTCCTGGAGGACATGTGATAGATCTTGGTCAAGCAGTGAAGGGGGCAGAAAGAACTGGAGCATACACCCAGGTAACTGTATGAACACTGTCGATTTTTATCTCTTTACTAGAGGCCCGCTACACAGATTCCTGCACCGTTGGGATCCCTCGGCATAGCCTGTGGGGATCGGGCCGAAAACCACAGTCCAACACCGCCTGCTGCTCCTGCTCATCCCAGCCCAGCTGTGCCTGCCATGGCCACTGTTCGGTAGGCTCGCTGCTGCTCCACTGCGGTCTCCAAGCTGTGGCGGCCAGCTGTGAGCCCTGCGTCTGGCATGTGTTGGTCAGCTGAGTGGTGCTATTGCTGTGGGAGCGCGCTGCCCCTGGTGGTCAGTGCGCATCATAGAGACTGGTCGACTGGTTGTTCGGTCGCTTAGGCTTTTATATATAGAGGTAGTCATCCTGTATCATGTCTCTACTAGATCATAAAGTCTTTGAGGCCAGGGACACAAATTCTGTTGTATCCCACAGTTTCCAACAGAAAAATACAGTAAATACTTTGTACTTAGAGTTTGATGGATGACTAACTTTTACATCCCAACGTGTTCAATATAATTCTGTTCAGTAAGGACAAAAGTTTTTTGGACGCTGTGGAATTTCTTTCTCCCATATCCCATTAGGCACATGAAAATGCACATGCTGTGGTCCTTGAAGCAAATGAGGGTATGCCAGGAAGCAAGTTATTCCTTGTGGGAGCAGCAGACAAGTAAAATGAAGGGAACACACTCAGTTGAGTGGAGATAGTGACAACTCTGCACCATGGTCGCCTCTGAAGTTGACAGACAAGGTTGGGAGACAGGTTTTAGCCCTTAATTTTTGGTTGTGGAAACTGCAGCTTGATCTCATTGAAACTAGAGTTCTAAAGTGATTACAAAGATTTCTCTCTGTTTAAAGAGAACATAGGGGACTTCTGGAGAGTTTGCTGAGTTTATGATGCAACTCTTCTTTAACTATCTGAAGGAGGTGGAAGCCAAAGAGGACTGTCATTCCTGACTCTCAGGAAAGGACAATCACATCTCTCCGGGGCCAGCCCTCTTCTAGACAGTCTCTCCTTTCTGAGACTCAGACCAAGGCAGAGACTGCGCACTTGGGTTCTGTACCCGCCTACCCGCCCGCCCTGAGCTAGAGCCAAAGACCCAGTTAAAACTAGGATCAGGTGTAACATGTAGGACGGCCTTCGGATGCCTCCTTGAGCTTCTCATGTTCTCTGAATTGCATTCAGCCGTGTACATTTTTACCACACAATATTTTAAACACCGTTAAAAAAAATAAAATGTATTAAAACATTGAGCACTATTCACAAAGCTCCTGTCTTCAAAACAGTACTTGGGGTAACTGCCCTACAAAGTTACACCTTTGGACCAGATGTAAGTTCAAAAAAACTGAAGAAAACAAAAGGGCAGGAACTAAAAAAACAACTCTGTAGGAGCCTCATTCCTACAATAAGACCTCTACTGTACAGCCACGTGCATTTCCTATTTCCCGGTGTTCCCCAGAGCCCCCCTTCCATCCCGGCGCCTCCTTGCCTGAGAGCCGAGACCCCGCCCCCGCTAGGGCGCTGGGAGGAGAGCCCCGCCTTTCCGAGCCCCACGGCACGTGCACGCGCACGATGGCAACCTGATCCCAGCCACGGCCTCGCGCCCATCTCCCCGGACCACCCAGGCTTTCGGGGCAGAACCGCTCGCCCCGCCCCCATGTACCCGCTCCTCCCCTAAGGCGCGCCCCCCCCGCCCGAATTAGAAAGCCCCGCCCCTAAACGCCCTCCAGCCCCGCCCACTCCTTGGTACCTGCCCCGCCCCCTGAGCGCGCGCCCGCCGCCCCGAAAGCTCCGCCCCCAGCCGCGCGCCCGCCCTCCATTCGCCACGTGCTCGCTGAAGGGCGGTGCTGGGGGCCGAGCCGAGAAGATGTTCTTGCTGCCTCTTCCGGCCGTGGGGCGAGTCGCCGTCCGACGTCTCGGGGTGAACCGTTTCTGGAGCCGAGGTTTCGGCACCGCAGACATGACGAAGGTGAGAGGCGGCGGCGGGATCCGGGGCCGCCCCAGGATGCCCTGCCCGCGGGCGACGGGGGCTTCGGGATGGGTCGAGGTCGCGGTGAACCCGGCTTCACCGAGTTGCCAAAATGGGCACAAAAGAAGAGGTCCCTCCCTTGGCAGAGCTCAGTCTGGGCACGGCCAGGGGTGGGGGCTGCGAGCACCCCGCGCATCTCCAGCCGGGCTTGGGTGCTGGGGTCCGCACTCCGGGCGCGCGAGCATGGCCCCAGCTGCCATTTCCTGGGCTCCCACTGTGTCATGCCCTTACTTCATTATTTGGGTAGTCCTCGCAGTAACCCCGGAAAACACGGTGCCGGTGTTGTTCCCCCCTTAGCTAGGAGGGAGCCCAAGTTTGCTGAGGCGAAAGGTCATCTAAGGTCCCAGAGTTGGTCTGGGCTCACCACCCGACCCGGTCCTCCGCTGCTGAATTCGGCCGGGAAAACGTGGGTAAGCTGCCTGCAGGGTTTTCTACGGGGACACAACGCCTCTAGGGAAAAGGGCTTTGCAGAGAGACCCATCTCTGCGTGAGATTAAAAGGAGAGGTCTCCGGGAAGAAACGCCTTCTGCACCCAATTGAACTCCAATTGAACTGGAAACGATTACGAAGATCACTGTTGGGCTGTGGAGGACCTGGGAAGGGGAGTTTATGGGTGGGAGGTGCACAAGATTGGGAGTCCAGAAATAAGCGACTGTCCCTGGCGAGGAATGTTCTAGAAAGGGCTTGAGCTCGGGGCTCAGGTTGTGTCAAATGGCGGGGGGACCAGACGCCTGTCCATGCTCTTTCCGGTATCCCACGACCACGTCCTCCCCAGGTAACACCGCCGTCCCTTCTCCAGTTCCCCACTTGGCTCCATGGGATCCCAGGAACAGCCGCCCTAGGAAAGCTAGAACCTGCAAAGGTTACCAACACCAAGGAAGCCCGCTTTCTTGGATGAAAGGACACGACTTGGTCTGAGTGCCAGTGTGATTTTGTAGAGAGGAGGGAGGCTGAGAGGAAGGTGTCAGGGTTCTCGCAGAGCTCAGTTGCACCCAGGCTAGTATGTCAGACCAGGTTTTGGTTTCCTCCTCTGTCAGGTGAGAAGACTGCACATTCTTTCCATCTCTCAGAGTTGCCTCCAGGCAGAAAACGTGTAAAGTCATAACTTGCCGGGCAAAGGCAGATAGCGGTTTCTGTGTTTACGTCCTCATTTCACTTACCTGAGGCCCGAGGGGGTGAGTTGCTTGGTGTTGGGCAGGATGCTCTGCTCCTGCCCCTCTCTGAGAAGTTGCATCTTTTCCCTCTTTCAGTCTATGACAGTGATGGTGAACCTATGACACACGTGTCAGAGGTGACACGCGAACTCATTTTTTTTGGTTGATTTTTCTTTGTTAAATGGCATTTAAATATATAAAATAAATATCAAAAATATAAGTCTTTGTTTTACTATGGTTGCAAATATCAAAAAATTTCTATATGTGACACGGCACCAGAGTTAAGTTAGGGTTTTTCAAAATGCTGACACGCTGAGCTCGAAAGGTTCGCCATCACTGGTCTATGAGCTGGGCCAGAGTTCTTAGTTTTGGCAGGTGCAGCCATTGGCTGTCCTGGGGTAGCACCCCTGCTTATCCGAGATTTGCCTTTGAAGGTTGTAGGAGAGGGAAAACTTCCTTTTGCTCTCCTGGATCCTGTGGCTGGACCGAAGAATTGAACAGACATCAGATGAACAGGAGAAAAGCAAACAAGTTCTGTTTGGTATTTTCGTGGATATGGGAGTCTTCGGGAGGAAAATAAAGACTCCAAAGCCTTTAGGCCCCCAAATGGATATACCTTTTTAAACAAAGAATGAAAAATTGTGGGGCAGTGATAGACAAAGGGGCTTGGGCTAGGGCAGTGCAGTGTGACACTGTGACTAGGAAATACATGTGGGGAAAGTATTGGAAGAGAAGGGTGATTTTAGTAGGTTTGTTTATACAGGTCCATTCTGCTGTCGACTCCCAGTCTCTGGCGATAACAATGTCCTCTTGCTAGTACAGAGAGAGCACCTTTCCCCTGGGAAATTTCATGGCCTGCTTTTGGGTAGAAAGTGGGAGGTCAGAGAACCCTTCCTATGTCTGTCTCCCGGGTACTGGTACCTGCAGCTCAAAGTAATATGACAAGTTCGGCATATTGTGGAGCGGCGTGTTCTGAACCCCTCTGACCTGGTTGCAGATGGAATTGGCTTTTTTAAACAAAACACCTTTCTGCTCTTATTTGACCGTGAAGGAAGGCCTTTATGTTGTGAGAACCCCTGGGAAAGGACCATGAAGCCCCAGGATACATAGTAATTCCAGTCTTGCTTGGCAAGAATTGGAAACATGTAGGCAGCATGTGAGTGTAGCTGACTCCCAGTACTACCTGCTTTTTTGGTTTTGTTCTCTCTGATGGGGACACAGTTTGCATGGAATTATTTGCTCCTTCCGGAATTTGGGGACCCAGATTAAGTCCCCCCCCCCCCACTCTTATTTTCAGGGACTTGTTTTAGGAATCTACAGCAGAGAAAAAGAAAATGATGTGCCACAGTTTACAAGTGCAGGAGAGAATTTTGATAAACTGGTGTCTGGGAAGCTGAGAGAAATTCTGAACATGTAAGTATTTGCCTACAGGTTCCAGGTTTCAAAATGCCTTGAAATAAAATAGGGTATTTCTTCTGTGCTCTGTTGTTAGCAGATGAAAATTCTCGGAAGCATGCTGGGCACTGTCGGTCATTGAAAGTGAAAGCGGGTGCCTCTGGAATGCACTTTGGTTCCTTGTGCTTCAGTATGGGTGGGTCTCCAGTGCTGGGAAGTCAGGCCACTTCAGCCATATTGCAGAGTTACTGTGAAAGACTGACCCAGAAGGGTCTGGAAAGTACCAGATTTCCTCAGTCCACCGTCCGGCCTCAGATTCACTTCCCCCCACCCTCATCCTACCCCCCACCCTCATCCTACCCACCAGGTCGCCTTCCCACAGCCTCTCTTTCTTCCTTTAGTTCCCCTTTGCTTATGGGAGACCTGGGTTGCTGGACTAGTTCAGAGCAGCCTAAGGGGGCCGCACCCTGCATTGCTTATCTGCAGTTTAGGGCTTCTCAAATGTGAGAGTACATGCCGGCCACCTGAGGGTGCGACGAGAATGCAGGTTCTCATTCAGTAAATCGGGTGGTCCTGAGATTTTGGCCTCTCTCGGATTCGCCAGCATCTAGAGAAGGTGGAGAAACACTGGGGTTTCCCAGTCCCGAGCTGCACGAATAGAAGTGTCAGCATAAGCCTCTGCAAGTACATCTTGTTCAGATCATAGATAATTTCTTGCATCTAATACATGTAGTCTAATAATGAGAGAAATTGCCTGATCATCGGATAACAGAATTCGCACCCCCACTTAATTTTTAGCAGTCACCCACTAGCGGACAGCCTTCCCCTGTGCCTTGATGAATTCATTAATCCCAAAGCTGACCTGTTAGAGTGCAGAACAGCCTGGCCTTCCTGATCGATAACTCTCAGCATTGCCACCTGGTTGGTTTGGAATACCACTGCCTGGTATCCCATTTGCAGATTAGCCCCCATAAATGACCTCCCACCAAACATACTGCAGTCAGCCCGGCCCCTGAGGCTGATGTCTTTATTAAAAAGAATTACGATTCTGCTCTCCTCTGCAGCCACGCATTGTCCATCCACGGCATTGCTTTCTGTATTTGTTTTCAAATAAGTTGGTGTTCACTCTAATAATCTATATGCTAAGTAGTTTTTGAGCTAGAATTAGAAGTGCTGCATCTGAGAAATCTGGCCCGAGAAAATTCTGTATTTTGATAAAAACATAAGTGCAGCAAATTCACAGAAGCAGCAGAGTATTATTTTTAATTTAAATTTTTATTTTTATTTTTGGCAGCAGAGTATTTTAATAATGTTAAATATATGCAGTTGAAAATTCTCGGAAGCATGCTGGGCACTGTATATATCACTTCTCAAAGGAACAGAGCAAACTAATGTTTTAAACAACTATTTCTTCTTGTTTCAGATCTGGACCTCCGCTGAAAGCAGGCAAAACCCGAACTTTTTATGGTCTGCATGAGGTATGAGATGAAGATAGGTTTGTCAAACCGTTAGTGAGCACCTACTATATGCCAAGGACTGTGACTGCATGGCCGGGCAGAAAATGTTGTATGGGATTGTGTCCTAGTATTAAGCCTTAAGTATTGTTTAAGATTGTATAGAGGTGACTTGCTGTCAGAAAGTATCGCCTCTCCTGTATCGCTTAATCTGTAGTTTCTTTTGTTTGCTGTGGG